CTTTTTTTTTGGGTAATGATTTTATATCTGTCTATCAAACTAGATAATGTTGCATTTACTCAGAAATTTTATTCAAGCCATGATAGTGTATTTTCTGTGGTGCCAGTACTTAAGTTCTAGTGTAAAGAAGTAGGGATTACTGCGGGGGCTTAAGACAGAGTTTAAGGGGCTGAGCTGGAATAGCATCTTCATTCCATGCGCACCTTGGGTGATGGTGGTGCATGCAGATGGCCCCCAGACCACACTTTTAGGAACATTGCTCTGGAGGATAAATGTCTTTTTTTGACAAATGAAATTCTGAAGCAGTTACCTAAGAAAACCCTCCTCAATTCCTGACCTCAGTTTCTAAAATGTGCAATCAAATAATCGTTGTCCTTTAGTCCTGTCTAGGCTGTCTCACTGAGGTCCTAGATGCTTGGTGTTTCATGTGGGAGAGATTCAATTAGTGTAACCAGAACAGGAAGCATCTAACTCAGAACATACCCCTTCATTGCACCGGCCTTGGAACCGACCTGGGGGAAAGGGCCAGCTTTTCAAAGGATCACCCTTAGCTTATTTATATCAGCGGTTTTATGGGTCTGTTATCTGTATTATCGCGGTAGCCAGGCAAAACACTATAACTTAAGGTTTTACATGACTACCCAGTAGCAATAAAATGGAAACACACAACTGACTTGCCTAAATAGTATTCTGTATCATGTAAGTTCATCTTGGGTGCTGCAGTTATGTAACTGGATTACTTTATGAAAGCAATTCAAATTTCTAGTAAAAAAAAGTTCAGAAAATGATCCCTCTGTTTCCTTTCTCTAGACATTGAATAACACCAGGATGCATCTATTTTTGGAGAGTAATTTTAGAAAAAGCAGAGTCATGACTAAATAGTCCAATATTAGGTAATCACTCAGAAAAATTTTAATGGGGTTTGGCTTTTGCGTTCAGTGATCTTAATAAGAGGTTTAGCTTGTTCTGCTGGACGCAGTGGATGAAAGTCTTATTGACTATATACCTCTCAATATTTAAATTCATGTACATCCCTCCATCTCTACCCTCACCCGGGCCCAGTCCACCCTCTGTTCCACAGCCAGAGGCTCTTGGGGGGGCCCCCTTCTGTTCCTGCTCTCCCAGTCAGTTCTCCACGTCACTTTCAGAGTGGTCGTTTAAATGAAGTATATTCAATCATGCCATTCTTCTGCCTCAGGTCCTTCCCAGGCCCTGCACATCCTCGTGATGGCCCACAGGTTCCGGCGTGGCCTCCCTTTCCAACTGGGACTGACTCCTCTTGCTCATTACGCCCACGTCGCATTGCCTCCCTCGCCCTCGAGGTTCTTTGACCCATCAAGCCCTTCCCTCACTCGGGGTCTTCGTGCAGGTTGTTTCCTCTGCCTGGAGGTCTCTCCCCACAGCTCTCACCTGGCTAACCCCCACCCTCTTTTAGATCTACGCTTAAAGGACCCATCCTTAGACGGAGCCTCCAACTCTGAATTCTGTCTCTCCTTTCTCTCCTCACTGCATGTTCTTTTCTCTTAGTACTTACCTCAATCTATAAATATAAATGCTGGTGTTTATTAATATCTGCCTTTCCCGTTAGTCAGTCTCGAGAAAGGATTACAGCTGTGTTGGTCATCACTATATCCTCAGTGCCTAGCGTAACACCTGGCCCTGATGTTGGCTACAAAATTAGGTCCAAGGGTGGAGTCTCCTTGGGTGTGGTGCCTTAAGTAGAGCTGCTTTAATACAATTCCTCTAGATCCTAAGACCTACAAACTGAAGAGACAAGTTATCTCGTCTTCCCACAGCCAGCCTACAGTGGGGGTCTGGGGCTAGCCTAACCACTGTAGACCAGGTTGTTAACTAGGAAGAATGGAATGTGCATAGGAGTCCTGGGTTCATGGCAATTCTGAAATCCAGCTGGGCACAGGTTGTAGTTCTTGATTAGGAATCAAGGCCTGGAAAGAATTTTTCATGGCTCTTGGCTCCACTCTCTGCTCTTATTTCCAACCTCTGAACCATTACTTTATTATTATTATTATTATTATTATTATTATTATTTTCATGAAAAGTAGTATGTATTTGCACCCAAGCAGGTTTTTTTTTTTTTTTTTTTTTTTTTTTTTTTTTGCAGCCTACTTCCTGCTTGCAGAAGTTTCTTTTCATTTTGTATTCTCTCTGTCCCTCTCAGTCCCAGCTGGCAGTATCTCTGCCAATGTGGTATATGTAAAAATGTAAGTATTAACTGGCACAGAAATTATATGGAGAAAGAGATTAGTTCTGCTATGGGCAAGGAAGGGCTGGGAAGGATCTTAGATAGAGGATGTCTCAGCAGCATTCCCAAGAATGACTAGCAATCCATTAGGAAGAACACACATAGAGGAGCGATCTGAATGCAGGGAAGAGCATGTGCAGAAGTATGATGGACTAAAACTGTCATGTAGCCCTCGCTGGTCTGGCTCAGTGGATAGAGCGTCAGCCTGGGGACTGGAGGGCTCCGGGTTCCATTCTGATCACGTACCTAGGTTGCAGACTTGATCTGGCCCTGGTCAGGGAGCATATAGGAGGCAACCAATTGATGTGTCTCTTTCACATTGATGTTTCTCCCTTTCTGTATCTCTCCCTCCCTTCCACTCTCTCTACAAATCAATGGGAAAATATCCTCATGTGAGGATTAACAAAAAACAAACAAACACCAAAAAACAAAACTAAAAACCCTGTAATGTATATTTAGGTACATACACATAATTTGGTAATAATAGAATGTATGACATGCCAAGACTGGTGTGTGTGTGTGTGTGTGTGTGTGTGTGTGTGTGTGTGTGTGTTACTTTGCAAAATCTCTACCTCAGGATGAGCTTGGGACTTGGAGCCAGATGGCCAACTCATCAACTTCACAAACATTTGTTAATGATGTGATTTGGGGAAAGCCACTTAGCATTTTTAGACCTTGATTTTCCTCATCAGTAAAATGGGGATAATAATAGAACCTACCGCACAGGGTTGTGGTGGAAATTAAATGAGCTAATATATGTAAAACACTCAGTAATACCTGGTGTATAGTTAGCATGATTATGGGAATGAACACAGAGATTTCAAACACAGAAGACACATACACACATATACAAAGCAATTCTCATGAGAAATAACCTAAAAATTATATATATCTTCATGTTTAAAGAGACAGAATTTTATTTTCTTAATGGCTTTGCATCTTTTTCCTGAGGCCTGTCTTCATTTCTTTCAGTTCCTGGTAGTTTGACCTACATTAATTTGCATGACTGTATAAAATGTTATCAGAGATCTTTAATGGAGCAAAGTAGATTATAACATAATAGTCTTTTGATTCCCAAAACATTAGCTCTTGCCCACACGAGAAAGGGTGGTTTTAATATGGTATCTATTACTTCCTACGTGTTTTCTGGGATCTGGCTGGCCCCCTTGGCTTTACGGAGACTGAACTCGCCCTTACATTGTTGGGAATCAGGGCTTAATTAAGCCGGTGCCTTACAGCAGGAGCAAGGATATCGCTGCCCCGTTGTTACCCTTGGCAATCCTCCCTCTTCTTTTGTGATAAATCACCTACCCTTTGGCCTCTGGTTATGTACCAGGGAAACAGGTTATTGCTTTATGGAACAGAAAGGGAAGTGTCTTATTGTTTAATTTTCAACTGCAAGGGTTGGCATGTTGTATCAGGAACAAATAAATCTGACTAGTTACTTATCTAATGTTTAAGCAATTCTGGGCTTCTTTTATTAGCACTTTATAGAAGGCTGTCTGTAAGGGCTGGCATTCTGCGCTGGCTGGCAGTTACGTAGGGGAGGGAGGCACCACTGGGTCTCCAGCTCTCGAAGCCAGGGAGGTATCTTTTCTCCCAGGGAGTGAGACCTTTGCTAGCGCAGTGCTTACAGAACTAAAAGCAGGAGTTCTACACACTAAATAGCCGATAGTGGCTGTTTTTTTGGAGAAAGATTTGGCGGATGGTCAGCATGTAAGGGTAGCTTCTATTTTTAACTTTATATACTCAGATTGTTTAATATTTAAAAAATAATGAATGAGAATTAGCATTTGTAATAAAAACGACCTGTGACCAAAGCTTCTGGCTCTGAACTGCTTCTGATTTCGGAGAGCCACTCTGACCCTTTATCCTGAACTTGCTAAAAAGAAAAAAGTTGTCAGCATTTATGCGTATCTTTTAGAAATGATCATCTCCCCAGAGCAGTAGATGGCATTTTAAAGCTCGGCATGATTGAGTAGAGAAGAGGAGGAGCAATTTGACATGCGGAGGGAAGGTAAAAAAGGAGATGACGTGGACAAACCAGAATTCTAGAAGCATGACTGTAAGGACTGGACATTGAGGGAGAGGAGAGCCAGTGTCATTGAGGGAGAGGAGAGCCAGTGTCTCCAGGGCTGTATTTGTTTCCGAGGGCCGCCGTAATCAAATACCAGGTGGGTGGCTGAAACGACAGAAATTTACTTTCTCACGGTTCTGGAGGGTGGAAGGTGAAGGTGAAGATACCAGTGGATTCTGTTTTTGTCAAGCACTCATTTCTTGCTTGCAGATGGCTGCCCTCCCACTGTCATTACATGATCTTTCCTCATGGCCACACATCCCTGGTGTGTCCTAATCTCTTCTTATAAGGACACCCATCGGATGGCATTAGGACACACCACAGCAGCCTCATTTTAACTTATTTACCCCTGAAAGGTCTTATCTCCAAATGCAGTCGCATTCTGAGGTTCAGGTTTGGACATACGAGTTTTGGGAGTCACAGTTTAGTCCATAACAATACATACATTCCCCTAGAACATTTTATGATTATTACAGATTTCAGTGAGAATGAGTTGGGAATAAAAATGACTATAAACATTAAACTCAAACTACCTGATTATACTTTACTAAAGAACAGCAGATAATCATCAATGCATTGTGCATCTTATATCCCCAAATACTTTAACCTGAATTGCTTATATAATGGACATTAAAAGTTTGTTTTAATTTCTTTTCTCAGATTACCTGTGTTAGGTGTAGCATGGTGGTAAAAATATGTGCGGTGCGTTCATCATCTTGGCGTTGCCACTTACTAGCTGCCTGACAATGAGCAAGTCACCTGCTGACTCTGTGCCTGGTTTCTCATATAAAGTGAGGTAACTAACACCTACCTCTTAGGGGTTTTCTCAAGATGAAGTGAGTTGATCAGTGTAGAGCTCATAGAAGTGTGCCTGGTGCATCATAAGTGCTGTATGTGTTTGCTTTTCCAGATGTTTCATCAGTTCCCGGAAATAGCTGTGTAGACACTCCTTGACCCCCAACCCAGTTACTTTTTCTGTCTCTTGCACTTGGTGATGTCACTCAATTAAACAAACAAAACAAAATTATTTCACCGATAAGTGTATCCCACAAGCAAAGTACATGTTAACCAGCTTCCCAGGCCAGCTCTGAGGGAGTCTACCAGTCAAGAACAAAGGTGTCCTTCTGAAAGTCCCCGATCTCTGGAGTGTTCTACAGGGAGTGCTGTGCATGACAAATGCTCAGGAAATGAGCCGATGAAAGGGAAGTCCAGACAGGATTGATCTGAGTTTCCCACAAAGGAATCACTTCAGAATTTTTTAAAATATATATTTTTTATTGATTTCAGTGAGGAAGGGAGAGGGAGAGAGAGAGATAGAAACATCAATGATGAGAGAGAATCAATTGTCTGCCTCCTGCACACCCCCCACTAGGGATCGAGTCCACAACCCAGACATCTGCCCTTGACGGGAATCAAACCTGGGACCCTTCAGTCTGCAGGCCGATGCTCCATCTACTGAGCCAAACCAGCTAGGGCTCACTTCAGAATTTGATTGGAGCACAGAATGAGCTTTTATCAGAGCTCCACAGGCAGGTGGGCCTTCCATGTTGTGAGTTACCTAACAGAGAGGGTGGAGGACTTGGTAGGACCCCGGGGGCACCCACTCGGCAGCCTCTCTAGGGCCAGCAGGGCAAGGTCAAGCTATTAAAAATTACATTCACCCAAATAGGTTGTGGTGTGTCCATGGGTCTTGATTGTAGCACCTGAGAGTCACGGGCAGCCTGCAGGCAGCCTGTGGGTCTCTTGTACTAGGATGCCCTTGGGCGCAGTCCTGAAGGTAACCATCCAGACATTGTTAGCGGTCCTGACACTGGCTGCATGGCTCCGGGCTGGTCACCTAGCCTCTCTGGACTTCAGTTTCCTCGTGGGCAAGTGAGAGGTAGGGCAGGGTGTTCTTTAACTTCTTTTCCAAACCCAATGGTCTGCGATTCGCAGTGGAAATGGAAGCCAATAAGATATCCTGCCCGTACCGGTTTGGCTCAGTGGATAGAGCGTTGGCCTGCGGACTGAAGGTCCCAGGTTCGATTCCAGTCAAGGGCATGTACTTTGGTTGCGGGCACATCCCCAGTGGGGGGTGTGCAGGAGGCAGCTGATCGGTGTTTCTCTCTCATCGATGTTTCTGACTCTCTGTCCCTCTCCCTTCCCCTCTGTAAAAAATCAATAAATTAAAAAAAAAAAGCTATCTTCACCAGTCACAGACAGCTCTTCATGAACACAAGACTGGAGTTCCTGCAATGATGTAGTTACTTACTATTTAAAAAAATACAGCCCTGTTTTGTGATGATAAGATGAGAACTGGAAAGGAACTAATTTGCACTTCTAATTTAATTTTTTAAAGCATTTTGACTTTTCAGAGAAAGCAAATCCAAAGAAAAAAATTTATTATAAAAACCAAGTATTCTCAAAATCCATTGTCAGTAACCTTGGGGCTATTGATCCATGGACTCTTGTTTTGCTCACTGTTGCACTCCCAAGGTCCAGCTTTGTGGCCATCACACAGTAAGTGCTTGAATCACTGAGTGAATATGTGCTAAGCATTTTGCATGCAGTATCTCATTTAATCCTTACAGCAACCCTATAAAAAAGCACATTGTATTATTAATCTAATTTTACAGATAAGGCAAGATATCTTACCCACAGTCACACAGCTGCTATATAGCAAGACTGGACCTTGAATTCTGGTTTCTCTGAATCCAAAGTTGGGATTTTTAATTTCTGGGCTATTTAGCCTCTGCCGGATGATTAAATATATAGGAGCCTAGGAGCATGAGCACAGCTGTAAGAAGATGGAATGGAGGCGATATAAAAGAAAGAGGAGGGAGTTTTAGGGAAATGGAGGCATTTGAATCTGAAGGACTCGTAAAGTCCACAGAAACCAACCCTTCATTGCACAGGTAAAGAAAAGCAGTGCCGGAGCTTAGATGCCCGTGCCAAAGCCACACAATTGGTCATTGTTTTATTTTAGCTTCTGGCTATAGACAGGGCGGATGGGGACAAGTTGTCTGGGGCCAATGAGTAGGCAAGTCACTTCACTCTAAGCCCCAAGTTGAAGGCAGAAGGAAAAGAAATTAGGAAGGAACTGAAATGTGTGCTGTGGGTAAATGAAGTGTTTTATGGAACCTTGTTTGGCTCTGATGACACCGTAACCATCCTTTGTTGTAGCAACAGACTGAGCTTGCCTTTGCCTTTGGTGCCTCAGGTTCCTTGCACTTTAGTCCCCACACTTTGCCGGGATGACTGGGCTAGGGAGCTAATAGGTATGCCTTTGCCTCGTGAAAAAGGGTGGGGCTTCTCGAATACTCAGGCTTGTTGTTGCCTAAATGTAGTCCCTGTTCGACTCCCAACTGCCCCACCAGCTTTGCTGATGAGAAAACTAAAATATAAAGAGGTGAAATGACTTGTCACCTTTGGGTAGTAAAGTGGGGTAGCGAAGAAGTAATAAAGAGGAAAAAGGGAGATATGTGAACCTGTTACCAGAATTAAATTTTGGATATAGGTCCTATTTTTTATAGGTCTGGGGCGACATAAACTTGTTAATTTGACATAAGTGAATAAATTTCATGTTCTCAAGAGCACCTGCCTGGTCACCTTGCTTCTCACTTTCCCTAGGGTCAGACCGTGTCTCCAGAGCTCCTTTACTGAACTTGAGACATCTAGGATTAGGCAGGATGAACTTACCCTGGGGAAGAAGGGAGGTGGTGCTTCCTTTTCGGGGACAGTATGGGGGCTGCCACATACCTGCTTCCATCACTGCCAAGCCCAGAGCAGAGGGGGGATTAGAAACCAGAAGTCGAAGGTTCAGTGCCCTGACCTGAACTTTATTTATATAACTACAAACAATGTGGACTGCTTTTACTTTAGTTATCTTCAAGGTTATTCCCTATGTTTAAAACTTGGCTGCTCCTGCGGGCATTTCCTGACATAACAGTCGTGTGCCGCCATTTTCCCGAGGGGTTCCCTCCTTGTCCACTTTCTCAGCACTGCTGTGGGTGGGAGTCAAGCTCCTGTATTATTACTGCTACGTGTATTCGATGGAAGCTGAAGGCTAGATCAGGATAATTCCCCCGAAGTTCTGACCAGGGAGAAATTCTCCCACAGCCTGGTCTTTGTGACATTTCTCTAACAAAACCAGGAACTGATTTGGCATCTGTTTCTCTGGAAATCAAAATGATTAGCAGATGTGATCCAATTATCCTCCTAAGTCCCCAGACCCGCCTGCTAAACCTGTGGGGCACCCCGATGGAGGCGAAAGGTTCCCCCCAGGTCATGTGCTTATTTGGGGTGGAAACCCGAGATTTCTTGCCTTTCAGTGGAGCTTCTTGGTGGCCTTGTCTTCACAGGGCAAGGTGGGCTTGTGGTTCTGCTTAGTCTCCCAAAGACAAACTCCCCTCCCCACAAGGGTCTGTAGTACTCCATAAAACCATGATAAAAATGGAACAGGGTCTACACCAGGGGTGGGCAAACTTTTTGACTCGAGGGCCACAATGGGTTCTTAAACTGAACCAGAGGGCCGGAACAAAAGCATGGATGGAGTGTTTGTGTGAACTAATAGAAATTCAAAGTAAACATCATTACATAAAAGGGTACGGTCTTTTTTTTTTTTTTTTTTTAGTTTTATTCATTTCAAACGGGCTGGATCCGGCCCGCGGGCTGTAGTTTGCCCACGGCTGGTCTACACTTATCCTATTTGCTCATAGAGTAAAATAAATTCAGGATCTGAGCCAGAATGTTCTAGAATTCCTTACCTTAAAAGTTTCGGAAAAGTAGAGTGAACATGACAAAGGCTTATGATTAGAGCAAAGGTATGATTTCTCTTGCCAAACATGACCCTTTGGGAATGGAGGAGATTACTATTACCTTACAACAGGCTTAAGCTGGGGCTGTCCTGAGTGAGCCAGGGTTGTGCAGCCACTCTCCTTATGATGGTGCTGGCAGGGGGGGACTCTCTGTCAGAGTTGGGTGCTTGACACATTCCATACATTAAGTTAATGTGGAATAAAGTCTTATTGTAGGTGCTGTGAGAGAAATCTATATATATAAAAGGCTAATATGCAAAGTGTCTCCTTGGGAGTTCCACTGGGAGACCAGGAGTTCAGTTGCTCACTATGAAGTGTGCTGACCACAGGGGGAAGCGTGGAACGAAGGAAGGCCCAGGCTGGCAGCTGGAAGGCCCCGATCAGCCCTGATCACCAGCCAGGCCTAGGGACCCTACCTGTGCATGAATTTCATGTACCAGGCTTCTAGTAGATTTATAATAGATATATGCCTCCTGTCCACAAGGAGATTACAGTATTGGGAGAGATAGCCATTACTAAAAATCAGAACAATACTGGTATGTTTTTTTCCCATCAGTCGTCTACGCTCTCAAGATTTTAATCTTACAGATGATCAGCACTTCCTTATTTGAAAGGAAATGTTATCATATCTTTCTTAACTTCATTAAGTGAGATATACATATTACAGAAACTCAGTTCTCTTTATCAAGTGTTTTGCAGTTGCTTATACAGATGTTTTTAACTATCTTCTTTTTATGGATCATAACAATAGTAGGCCTGATAGAAAAATTTTAATGGTAAATATGAAATTATTTTTTACGAAACTGTATTCACTTAACATAAGTAAGCATAGTGCCTTGTGTAGCACTTTTTAAATATATATATTTTATTGATTTTTTACAGAGAGGGAGAGGGATAGAGAGTTAGAAACATCGATGAGAGAGAAACATCGATCAGCTGCCTCCTGCACACCCCCCACTGGGTATGTGC